GACTGAGGCACATTCTAAAAGACACAGAAATAAGCTTGTGATGATCGATTGAAAGTACAATGAATTCTATAGAAAATTCACCTTGGTGCCCCTTTCGTTCCTTTATGATGCCAGGTATAAATGAGGTGTCAGTGTCCAACATGTGTACAGTAAATGGTCAGTACTGATGCAACAGTTCAGGAGGGGAGGGGAGGTTACAGTGTCTTAGTAATCAGAGAAGGCCTGTGGAGGTGGTGTGGAAGGAGGAGACAGCTCCGCGCCTGACTGGCCCAGTGGCTATGGACATCTGCCCTTCCTCTGAGCTCAGTATTCCCCTCTGTGATGTGGGACAGCACCAGCACCCACCATCCAGTAGGAGGTGAGCCCTGTGGTGCCTGCCACTTAATAGATGCTCAATAAGTGGCTTTATTATATTATCCCAGGTAAGATGCTAAGGGGGCAAGGAAGGTGGAGGGGATGTTGGTCGTGTGGTGCAAATCATAGGAGGGCTAGAGCCAGGTAAGCCTGGGTTTGTGTCTTGGTTCTGTCACCAGCCCACTGAGGGGGCCCAGATCCATTCCTCAGCTTCTCTGAGTCTTTTTTCTCATTCGCAGATTGGGGAACATTCCCTCTGCAGCTGTTGGGGAGGGTTAAACAGGATCCTACATGCAAAGCCTTTAGCTTGTCGCCTGCCCCCTAGTCAGCTCTCCTTAAATGCAAGCTGCCGTCACTATAACCGTGTCTTCAGCTGGAAGTACCAAGAGGAGGAGGTGGGCAGCAGTCAGGCACATCCACGTGGGGCTGACCACCCTGAAGGGACCACAGTAACAGGACCAGGCTCCTTCCTAAGGACCCCCTCCCTGCTGGGTGGAGGGGAGTGAGGATGAGCAGGGAGGCCATTTCTCAAGAGTGTCAGAGCTGTCACTTCCAACGAAGGGAAAATCTGTACCTTAGAAACCAAAAAAAGGCCCATCTCACACATCTGCCTGCCTCCAGGCTTCCCCCCAATCTTAATCCAGGGTTCATGTGCCGAACTACCTATGTGACCTGCCCTGCCCCCTTCTCCTTCCAGTGAGGTCTCTGTGATGTCTCTCTTCCAGATGAAACCGATGAACGTGGAGTATCTCATGATGGACGTCTCCATTCTGCTGCCCCCCACGGGCACGCCACTGACGGGCATTGACTTTGTGAAGCGGCTGCCATGTGGTGACGTGGAGAGGACCCGGCGGGTGAGTGGGAGCTGGACCTGGCCTCTCCTGGCAGCTGTCTGCCAGGACCGCTCACAGAGCAGGGAAGAAAGGTCTCTGATCAGGTCATGAGTCCGCCTTCCCACACAAGTGCAGACAGTAGGGAGACAGACAACACCTGCCACACCCCTCAAGAGGAGAAACTTCCCAAGCAGCTGCCTCTGCTAAAGCAGGGATTGGAGTCCCATTGCTTCTGGCACCGGGTGGGTTGCAGGCAGGCTGCCTTCGCTGGTGCAGGCCCTCCCTGAGCTTGGGAGAGGAAGCCAGGGGCCGGGTCTGCACAGGACGTGGGGGAGTGAGCAGAGCCAACACAGTGCAGATGGGGCTGGCGTGGAATCAGCCCAGCGAGGCTCAGGACCCCCCAGGATGGTGTGATGTTAAGGTATCTGAGGGATCTCGGGGTGAGGCACAACAATGGAAATGGTGGTTCTTGCCGGCCTGCGGGAGAGACCTGTGTGAAGGGTGGACTAGTTCTCAGAACCCAGCTGGAGTGTGTGTTTCCGTTATCAGCGTTTTTTTCTGAAGCAGTCTCATGGGGCTGTTCATGGTATTTTATCTCCCTCGTAAGATTACACTTTCTTTCTTAGAAAGCACCATAACCTTTTCCTAGAAAATCATTCCCTGGAGACGTGAATGCTAGTGGATAAATTAGTGGAATTCATTGCACTCAACTCTCGTTATCAGCCTGTATCTTCCTCTGAGTTAATCCGCTTGTAACCAGAGCAGCTGAGGTGTTTAAGTTTTGGATTATGAGAAGCAGGAGGGACCTGCTAGATCTGCCTCAGACCAGAGGGTTCTGTGGCCTTCCTCCACCCAGCTGGCAATTTTGCCACAGAGGCCTGGGGGGCGGGGCAGAGGAAGTGGGACCCATGTGTCTTAAGTCAATCCACGTTCCTTGCTGCCTGACCAAACCCACAGGCCTCACCACAGAACACGCCCTGTCCGAGCCAGTGACGCCTTCCTTCCGTGTGCTCCCAGCCAGCGCTGCAGGCCCTGCGGCGGGCACACGATTGTGTTTGTGGGTGGTGGTGTTTGCACTGGGCATTCTTGGCATCGGCTTTTACAAGAGACTGGTTCTGACAGGTGTGAGTCATATCAGTG